GTGGTCCAAAACTGAACCTGCAATATCTTCAAGGTGTTTCTATAGTGAGATAGCAGGATGGACTCCCAGTTGTGATTCTAGACATCTTTTAGGATTTTCCCAATTAATAGTTTGCATTTAGTGCTGGGCCTGGCCTTTACCACCAAGCACATGAGCCAGCTGATATGTTAGAGAAGCCAGGTTGATGAGTTTGAATGACTATATTAAATCCCTCCTCATATCTGTAAGGATCTTTGGTTGCTTTGGGAAAATCTTTGACTTTGGCTCACAGTTCAGCTTTAGTCCAGGGAATTTAAGAAATTAAGGATTTAAGAGGGAGGAGATCGAGATGATAGAGTAGAAGACCAAGATAATCTCCCACTATGAACACATCTAATACATCTATGTGTGAAACCGTTCCCACTGAAAACAAACTGGAGACTGGCAGAGAGAAAGATCCACGTGGAATCAAGTAGAAAGGGAAGAGAAGCGATCGGGTTGGGACTGGTGCCCCTAGGAAGGAACATAGAAGAGTTGAGGATTACACAGGCTAGGAGATCCTCCCTGGGGAGTGAGCAGTTTGGACAACATATTGGGCACCCCTGCCCTGGGGTCTGATACTGAGGAGATGACTCTCCATAATTGATTTGAAAATCTGTGGGACTTACAGGAGGGCTCTAAGAAACCTAGATTCCACACACAGGCATGCTTACTCCTAGGATCAAGTAAGAAGAAGCAGACTGAAACTGCCCAGGGCCCTGGCCCACTTCCCACATCGACTGCCCACTCCACCACTCTAGCTCCAGCGCAGCTCCACTAGGGTGAAGTCTGTCATAGCCGAGGAGAGTGCGCGATGGTGGGGATCAGAGACAGCTGGCACCTGGGATTCATCTGAATGGGGTGAGCATGACCATTTCTGGCACTTGCAGAGATGATGAGTCAAAAGCCCTCTGAAGCTCTAACTGATAGACAAGGACTGCCCCAGTGCTTGCCCTGACCACACCAGGTGTCCACTCTGACCTCTCTCGCTTCAACACTACTCCCTTCTAGGATGAAAGTGATGGGGAAGTACACACACTTAGAGGAAATAGAACCAACTTGAACTTGACCCTCAGGACTTCTGCCTTAGCACGCTGGACCTCTGGGAGAGCAAACTCCAGGGGATGGTGAAGGACAGGGAAGCCTGGCGTGCTGCAGTCTAAGGGGCTGAAAAGTTGGCTATGACTGAGCAATGAATAGCAACAACCACCCTGGACCTGACCCCAACCCCAGTAGGGCAGTGTTGGCCGCTGAGCACAGCAGAGGCCCCGGCTCACACCTGGCTCTGGCCCTAGCTTCTCCATCTCCAGCTCCACTTCCCCCCTCCGTGAGAGTTACCAGCACACCCGAGGGGAAGACGCGACCTGTGCTGACTCCAGATCCAGCTGTCTCACCAAAGCCACTGGGCACACACAGACTGATGGTGTTGCTCCCACACGAGGAAACCCGTTCAAGACTGGGACAGGTAGCTGCTTTTTTGTTTTTGTTTTTTTTATCTAATTTGATAGAGACAGAGAAAGTTAAGCAAAACAAGAAGGCAGAGGAATTTGTTTCTAATGAAAGAACAAGACAAAAGTGTCTGAAAAATGACTAATAAAACAGAGATAAATAATTTATCAGATGAAGAGTTCAAAGCATTAATTATAAAAATGCTAACTGAACTAGGGAACAGCAAAGACAAACACAGTGAGAGTTTTAACAAGGAACTAGAAAATATAAAAAAGAACCAATCAGAGTTGAAGAACACAATAACTGAAATGAAAAATACACCAGAAGGAATTAACAGCAGGTGAAGTGGTACCAAAAAAGATGTCATTTTCATCATAGGCAACTGGAGTGCAAAAGTAGGAATTCAAGAGATACCTGGAATAACAGGCAGGTTTGGCCTTGAAGTACAAAATGAAGCAAGGCAAAGGCCAACAGAGTTTAGCCAAGAGAACCTCCTCTTCCAACAACACAAGAGATGACTCTATACATGGTCATCACCAGTTGGTCAGTACCAAAATAAGACTGATGATATTCTTTGCAGCCAAAGATGGAGAAGCTCTCTACAGTCAGCAGAAACAAGACTGGGAGCTGACTGTGGTTCAAATCATGAACTCCTTATTGCCAAATTCAGACTTAAATTGAAGAAAGTAGGGAAAACCACTAGACCATTCAGGTATGATCTAAATCAAATCCCTTACAATTATAAAGTGGAAATGAGAAATAGATTCAAGGGATTAGCTCTGATAGAGTGCCTGAAGTATTATGGATGGAGGTTCATGACTGTACAGGAGGCAGTGATCAAGACCATCCCCAAGAAAAAGAAATACACAAGGCAAAATGGTTGTCTGAAGAAGCCTTACAAATAACTGAGAGAAGAAGAGAAACTAAAGACAAAGGAGAAAAAGAATGGTAGACCCATCTGAATGCAGAGTTCCAAAGAATAGCAAACAGAGATGAGAAAGCTTTACTAAGTGATCAATGCAAAGAAATAAAGGGAAACGATAGAATGGGAAAGACCAGAGATCTCTTCAAGAATATCAGAGGTACCAAAGGAACATTTCATGCAAAGATGGGCACAATAAAGACTGAAACAGTATGGACCTAACAGAAGCAGAAGATATTAAGAAAAGGTGGCAAGAATACACAGAAGAACTGTACAGAAAAGATCTTAATGACCCAGATAACCATGATGGTGTGATTACTCACCTAGAACCAGACATCCTGAAGTCTGCGGTCAAGTGAGCCTCAGGAAGCATCACTACAAACAAAGCTAGTGGAGCTGATGGAATTCCAGTTGAGCTATTTCAAGTCCTAAAAGATGATGCTGTTAAAGTGCTTCACTCAATATGGCAGCAAATTTGGAAAACTCAGCAGTGGCCACAGGCATGGAAAAGGTCAGTTTTCATTCCAATCCCAAAGAAAGGCAATGCCAAAAAATGTTCAAGCTACCACACAATTGCATTCATCTCACACACTAGCAAAATAATGCTCAAAATTCTCCAAGTGAGGCTTCAATAGTACGTGAACTGAGAACTTCCAGATGTTCAAGCTGGATTTAGAAAAGTCAGAGGAACCAGATATCAAATTGCCAACATCTGTTGGATCATCAAAAGAGCAGGAGAGTTCAGAAAAACATCTACTTCTGCTTTACTGACTATGCCAAAGCCTTTGACTGTGTGGATCACAACAAACTGTGGAGAATTCTTTAAGAGATGGAAATACCAGAACACGTTACCTGCCTCCTGAGGTATGCAGGTTAAAAAGCAACAGTTAGAACTGGACATGAAACAATGGACTGGTTCCAAACTGGGAAAGGAGCACGTCAAGGCTGTATGTTGTCACCTTGCTTATTTAACTTACATGCAGAGTACATCAAACACAACTGAGCAACTGAACTGAACTAAACTGAATTAAGCACTATAATCAACTGTGGACTGGCCAGTGGGCTTCTTTTTGTAAAGATGAAATACAGCCATGGGCAGAAAACAATGCAGGTGATTCCAGCCAGGAATATCTAGTCTGGAAAATTTTCAAAGGGCTACAGGTTGCATAACCTAACATCCGCTTTATCAGGACAATGTCTCCCAAGCTATTTAGGAAGGTCAGTTGGGAGAAGGTTTTTGTTTGTTTGCTTTTTAATTTACTTATTTATTTTAATTGGAGGCTAATTAATTTACATTACTGTGGTGGTTTTCACCATACATCAACATGAATCAGCCATGGGTGTACAGATGTCCCCCCATCCTGAATCCTCCACTCACCTCCCTCCCCACCTCATCCTTCTGCATTGTCCCATGAAGCTTTGAGTGCCCTGTTTCATGCATCGAACTTGCACTGGACATCTAGTTTACATATGGTAATTAGGAGAAGGTTTTCCAACCTGTTTCAGTTAGTAACTATAAGTAACAAACATGAAGTGTTTCTTTTCTTACTCATAAAAGTTCAAAGAGAAACACAGGACTAATACAGCAGCTCCAGTGAATTCAGGGTCCTAGGCTCTTTCAACCTGACCAATCTAGCAATCCTCCAAGTGGCTTCCACCTTAAAAGTTGCCCATGGTTCCAAGATGACTGCTGGAGCTCCAGATATCACATTCACATTCTAAGCAGAATGAATGGAAGGGTAAGGAGCAAGAAAGGTGTTCTCCCCAATTGAGTCAGAGCCTCTAAAAGACAATTTCCCAACATCTTATATATCATGACCACCCCTAACTGTAAGGAGAATAGATACTGGCTGGGCAACTAGAACTCTCTCTATGCATATTTCCCGAGCAGGTTTTTATGCTGTTTAAAGCCTGCTTTGGAAATGAATGCCTTCTAGAACTTTCATTTACCATGTTACACATATAAGTACCATTTTATTTTTCTTCTCTAAACGCCTACTTTTCATGAGAGCTCGCTTTTGCCAGCCTCATTTTTACGTCCATAGTGTGCTTGTCAGGCACCCCTGTACTTGGGTAGCAGTTATTGCTCTCGCCCCACTTTGCATTGGAGTGCTGGGTGCAGCTAAGCTAATCGGTCAGTGGGGCTTTTAGATGTCACAGTGATGCTCTCTTTGATCTTCATTTGAGAGTTACCAACTCCCTCACTCCGTGGAAGGTGCATGCTAAGTTGTTTTAGTCATGTCTGACTCCTTGCAACCTTATGGATCATAGCCCACCAGGCTCCTCTGTCCATGGAATTCTGCAGGCAAGAATACTGGAGTGGGCTGCCATGCCCTCCTCCGGGGGATCTTCATGACCCAGGGATCCAATCCACATCTCTTACATCTCCTGCATCAGCAGGTGTGTTCTTTACCATTCATGTCACGTGGGAAGCCCCCTTGGAGGGTAGACCCTCCCCATAGATAGCTCACCAGTCTGAAAAGCTCTGTTATACTTTGTCTCAGAGACAGGGAGCTGAGATCAGTGCCTCCAGAGGTCATTTCCAAGTCTTCAAGCCTGCCCTGGTCCCCGATGGCCCGTGATGAGGCTGGGCTCCCACGATCTTTTGCAGTTATTCCCTACTACGTGTCAGTCACCACGGGGAAGCACAGGGATGCAGCCACCGATAGCCGGGCCTACGTCATCCTCATTGGGCAGGAGGACGAGCGCAGTAACCGCATCTGGCTGGACTATCCCCGGGGGAAGAAGGGCTTCAGCTGCGGCTCCGTGGAGGAGTTCTATGTTGCCGGCTCGGATGTGGGCATCATCAAGAAAATAGAGGTGCTGGGCTCTAGGGCCTCAGGGCGGTGGCCCTCAGGGAAGGAAGGAGCTGACCTGTACTCAGGTGGGAGGCTGAGTGGGCCTGACCTGGGCCCCGCTCAGAACAGGTAGCATAGGAAGAGCTCCTGGCCTCTGTCATCAACTGGCTGGGTGACCTTGGATGCCTCACCTGCCCCTTCAGGTCCTTTCTCCACCCACCCAGAGGGTATGTCTATGTATTAGTTTTTTTTTTAATTGCTCTGTAACAAGTCACTACAAACTTAGTAACCTAAGGCCACACAAATGTATGGCCAGGAGTCCAGGCCTGGGTTAGCTGTGTCTTCTGCTCAAGGTCTTACTGGGCTGAAGTCAAAGTTGCCGCCAGGGCTGTGGTCTCGTCTGAGACTTGGGGTCCTGTCCTAAGCTCAGTGGTTGTGGGAGGAAATCAGTTCCCTTGTGGTCGTAGGACCAAGGCCAGGGGCTGCCTGCCTTCTCTGCCATGTGGCCCACTCCAAGGCTGGGCAGCATGTTTCCTCAAAGCCATTCAGAGGGGATCTCTTCTGTTTCAAATCTCTGTGACGTCTTCCATCTCTGATGTCTACACCCGCTTTGGAAGGGCTGGCCTAGTTAGGTCAGGCCCACCTAGAATAATCTTTTGATGAGCTCAGAGTCATCTGATAAGAGACCTTCATTGCATCTGCAAAATCTCTCCACCTTCACAGGAGGGACTTGGATCAGTGAGTGCAGGGCACGCTGGAAGGCAGCACTGAAGATGGGGGTGGGTGGGGGGTGGCTAACAAATGGGAGAGGGGACGCTGAGCAGGGAGGGCTTCTTGAGTCAGTGGTGCCCCATCCTCACGGCGCCGGTGTGTCCCCGCCTAGCTGGGCCATGACGGGGCCTCCCCCGAGAGCTGCTGGCTGGTGGAGGAGCTGTGCTTGGCTGTGCCCACCCAGGGGACCAAATACATACTGCGCTGCAATTGCTGGCTTGCCAAGGACCGAGGCGATGGCGTCACCTCCCGTGTCTTCGACCTCCTGGATGCCATGGTGGTGAACATCGGGGTGAAGGTATAAAGGGCACCTGGGTGTGGGGATGGTGGGGCATGGCAAAGGGAGTGCTGGGTGAAGGATGTGAGCACAGGGGAAACGGAAGTGAGAGAAGGAGCAGACCCATCCCTGGGGCATTGGCCGGGGCTGCAGCCCTTTGTACCAGCCAGACCCATTTTGCTGAGAGCCAGGAGACGCAAGTGTCTTCTTGTCTGCAGCTGTGTGACCTTGGGCAGGTCATCTGGCCTCTCTGGGCCTTGGTCTTCTCACATGTGTGTGTGTTAGTTTAGTCATGTCCGACTCTTTGCAACCCCATAGACTGTAGCCCACCAGGCCCCTCTATCCACAGGCTTCTCCAGGCAAGAGTACTGGAGTGGGTTGCCATTTCCGTCTCCAAAAGGAACTATAGAAAGAAAGTGAAGTCGCTCAGTCGTGTCCGACTCTTTGTGACCCCATGGACTGCAGCCTACCAGGCTCCCGCATCCATGGAATTTTCCAGGCAAGAGTACTGGAGTGGGTTGCCATTTCCTTCTCCAGGTCTTCTCACATAGCACATGGAAATACTGCTTCCTCTCCTCTCCCATGTAAGGTATTGATGAGAACTAACGAGACCATGAACAGACCATGAAAAGCATGCTCTACATAGATGTATGGAGTCATTTTCTCCAAAGGATGTTCTGTTGACACCAGTAGGCCAGTGATGGGGACAGATGGCATTTGGGGTGCTGTGAGCCCCTGGGTCTCAGTGTGGGGAGTGCTGTCTGCCCAAGACCCCCCTTAAGTGGAAAAGGCTGGAAGGCAGATACTCCGAGTGCCTGTCCCAGGTACACCTCTACCTGGCCAAATGACCTGGGCTGAGTTGTATGAAGTTACAGGTCGGTGCCAGGCAGGAAGCAGAGCGCCTGGGTGCTGGACCCAAGGACATATGGTCAGCTGATGGCCCAGAGGCTTCTGTGTCATGTGACCTTGCAGACTTCTCTATTTCTGAAAACGTGTGGGGGTCAACAGAAGGTCCCGGCCCTCATCTCTGTTGCTGAATCCAAATCAGTGGGCTACTAGATTTAGGTTGGAACCTGTCCCACAGTGGTAAGAAGACATCGCCCTGGACCTGAGTGTGCCGCGCCTGTATTGTATGTGGAAACAAGGAAGGGCTGAGTCATCGGCTCTAAACTCTGTTTGGGTAGGAGTGTGGATGCCTGCCCCTCTCCTTCCTGCTGGAGAGCCGAACTTCCTACAGCACAGACACCCCTCCCTTGCTCAGCCATCTGCGTCTATGGCAGACGGTCAGTGGGGGAGAGCGCACAGTTCTTCCGGGGACCTCTGTCCTGACCCAGTTCCCGGCACGCATGTGGGCGTGTGTGTGTGTGTGTGTGTGTGCGCGCGTGTGTGCCACCCCCAGTGCACATTCACACCCCGTCTCGGTACAGCTCACCTCCCTCTGGGCTCTTTAGTCTGTGGAAATCCAAACCCTCACACCCCAGTTATTCATGTTACAAAAGAACACAGATTTGTCACTTCACAAAGAACCCGAGGGCTTTTGGACTGGCCACCTCCCCAGGACATCTGATATCAGACCGGAATTATAAAAGCCTGTTTCTGTGTCTCTTTCTGGAAACACATCTATGGCATAAAAAGAGATGGGTCTGTGTAAAGAAGAGAAAAAAGATGGACCCGGAGAAGACAGGAGTCTGGTGAGCCCAGTCTTAAGGGGCCAGTCTCCACGGGGCCACGAGCACTCGCTTTGATCGTTTTGTTTCTGAGTCTGCTGGGTAACAGTGAGTAGTCAGGCTTCTGCTTTCGTTCCCGTAGCTCTGTGCCCACCACACACACCCTTGTCCGGTGGTCTAAGAGGATTTTCCTGGGAAAGCAAAGTGTAGTTCAGTTATTCCCCCAGCAAACATGTCCTCCTGGCCAGGCCCAAAATACTGTTTCTAACCTTGCAATGTGGTGGTGAAGGTTCTCAGTGCTGCCTGAAAAGGAGAATGTCAGGGGTGTGGTCACTGACATGAATAACTTGGGTTCTGAATCTGAAGGCAACTGGTGGTGGGAATCCAGCATCTGCGACAGTGATTTTGCGATGATATTGGGAGCCCCTGGGGAAAGGAGGGGCTGGCTATGGGTACACGCAAGGAGATGGTCAGTATGGCGTGTCCTTGGCTGTGGGTGCAGGCCTCTCCTGAACCTCTGAGACCTCACTGGGCACCTGGCTAGAGGCTGTGGCATAAGAGGCCAGGGGCCAGAGGACACTCCAGGTCAGGGGTGAAGATGGCCCCTCTTGCCCCGAGGCCTCCCCTCAGAGGAAGAACAGAGCCTGGGGCCTCGGGGAAGGCACCACGCTGATGGGAGAGGGCTGTTCTCACCTCCTCTGGCAGAGACAAAGAGAACACACCCTCTTTGGAGCAAACCTCAGGCCAAAGGGCAAAACTCCAGTCTAAAGTGAAAAGCACCTACCATAGGTGGCTGGCCCACCTCACAAGCAAAAGGAGGCAGAGGTCCCTCAACCATCAGCCCCGACACACTCCCCATCACCGATGCGCAGGGTGTGAGCTGGCTGTGACATATAGGAGGGACAGTCCCCCAGAACTGCTGCGGCCCCTTGATGCCAGGTCCAGAGTGGGCACCAAGGCGAGGTGTCTGTAGCTTTCACAGCTCTGCATCATGCATATCTCTGTTTACAGAGAGGAGGCAGAGGCTGGAGAGGGTGGGACATCTGCCCAGGTTCCACAGCTAGCAGGGGATGGCCCTGGGGTTCCAGTGGCGCCCTGCATGGCCCCAAAAGCCACTGTCCAGCCAACACATGCTGCTGGCATGAACGGACTTAGGTTGGGCTTCTACGAACAAGGAGATTGGTTAATGCTGGGGCGATCGGTCATGTTCCTACTCCACACATGTTCTCTCTCAGAAACTGAACTCCTCTCCAGCCCTGAGCTGGGCACATCTGGGGACAGGGACAGTGACATGGCCTGGCTCTTGCTCTCCAGACACTCACGGTTGGTTAGAGGGAGGGATCTTTTCAGAGCCGTGGAGCTTGCCACAGTGAGAGTGAAGTATAATAAATCGCCGGGGGTGGTGGTTGAGGCCAAAGCCCAGGATTTGCATCCCTCTTGTGTCAGGTACTCTATGAAATGACGGTGTGGACAGGGGATGTGGTGGGCGGTGGCACCGACTCCAACATCTTTATGACCCTCTATGGCATCAACGGCAGCACAGAGGAAGTGCAGCTGGACAAGAAGAAGGCCAGGTATCTGGACGTGGCCTGTGCCCCTTGCCCCTTTGCCCCTCCACACACCCAATCCTTCACCCTCCAGCCCCATCCTGCCTTCAACCAGACTACCCTCTGACTCACCCCTCATCCACTGGAGACTTCCAGCCTCCACGCTTCTGTCTGTGTGATTCCTCCCTCCTAGAATGCCTTTCATCTACTCTCTCTGTTGCAAGATTGTTCTAGTCCAAAGGCTAGCCCTCCTTGATCACCTCAGCCCATAGGGCTCTTTCCTTCCCTCCTTCTGTCACTGTGAAATGTTTATTGTAAGGTCTGGAGGTTTGTGGATAGCACTGTGTCATTGTGAATCTCCTGCTTTCATTCTTTTTGCTGCAGTAATGTAACCTGTTCACATTAGGGGGAGCTGGCTGAAGGGAACACAGAAACCTACTCTATTTTTGTAACTTGCCTACAAGTTCAAAATGATTGCATAAAAGTGAAAAAAAATTCAAATATTAAAAAACAATTGAACACCCATATCAGGCACTGTCTCAGACACTGGAGAGACAGTACAACCAGGAAGAAAAGATGCTCAAACTCGTGAAGTTTAACACCTGAGGGGACCACAACAACACGGACCCTGACATGGGCTTATTTAGTGTTGGACGTTTTTCTAAGCCCTTTGAATGTATTGACACACTTAGTCCTACCTACAACTTTATGAGGACTGTTATTATCATCCCCATTTTACAGATGAGAAAACTGAGACACAGCAGAGTCAAGTCATGCTGTTCAAGGTCCCATAGCCAGTAAGCTTTGGCCCTGGGCAGTGCACTCAGGAGGCCCCAGTCTTAAGCCTTAGGTTCTACTTCCTCTTAAGATAGTTATTAGTAATGACAGTACTGGTGGACCTCTTATAGTGCTTCCTGTCTGCGCCTTTCATTAAATCCCCAACTTAGTCCTAGGTTTTGTTTGGTTTTCTGTGTTCGGCCATTGTCCCCCAAACCATCCCTGACCCCTGATATCTTAAGCATCAGAGGGCAGAGACCCAGAACCCAAGCGTAAGGCTTGTATAACCCACCCATAGCCACTCACCTCTGAACCCACACTGCTGCCTCCCACAGATCTTGCCCAGCTTCTTAACAATGTCTAACACCCTTCCATTAAAGCTGGAGGGCAGGATCCTTTCTGAGCTCTCCCAGCTCCTGCCTCTGGCCTTGCATGTGTCGGCCACTTAATAAGTACGTCTGGAGAGTGGCGGAGGTAGGGATGGGAGGGATGTTGCTTGGGGAGATGAAGTTGCTAAAGCTCTTGGGGGCCAGCTAGAGGCTTCTTCTCATGGACAGAGCAGTCCGTGAGAGTGGGGACTCTGCTTATCTTATGCAGCTTGTGTCTGGGGGGATCCGATGACAAGAGTTTTGGCGTCTCTTCTTTCAGCACTCCTATGCTCTTATTATGCAACTCCTATTTCCTCCTGGAATTCTCTCCTGAGCAGGTCTCCCCTGATAGTAATTGTAATAACGGTTAACATTCAGTGAGCACCTACTCCCTGCCAGGCTCCATTGTAAGTGCTCTCTGTCTCTATCTCTCTCTATATAGAGACAGAGCAAGTTAATATGTACATATAATGATATTTATATTAACTATAATAATAATGCAATTATATATATTAACTCACAACAAATAAAATAGAAAGGTGAAGTAACTAAAGCCCCAAGATCACTCAGGTAGTCAGCAGGGAAGCTGGGATTTGAACTCATGTAATTGTGGAAATAAAATGGATGTCAAATGATAACAGAGGCTGTATCTTTCCAGCTTGCTACAGCAAGAGTGTGAGCACCATCACTCAGTTTGGCAGAGGCCCAAGGCTCTCAGGATCCTGGAAAAGCTTCAGAGTGCAGCATTATTGGAAGCCTGGGAGAACTGGAGGAGAGCTAACTAGAATTGAGGCAGCTCATGTGATTGGATGCAGTTCAGTCGCTCAGTCGTGTCTGATTCTTTGTGACCCCATGGACTGCAGCATGCCAGGTTTCCCTGTCCATCACCAACTCCTGGAGCTTACTCAAACTCATGTCCATCGGATCACTGATGCCATCCAACCATCTCATCCTCTGTCGTCCCCTTCTCCTCTCGCCCTCAATCTTTCCCAGCATCAGGGCCTTTTCCAATGAATCAGTTCTTCACATCAGGTGGCCAAAGTATTGGCTTTTCAGCTTCAGCATCAGTCCTTCTAATGAATATTCAGGACTGATTTCGTTGAGAATTGACTGGTTGGATCTCCTTGCAGTCCAAGGAACTCTCAAGAGTCTTCTCCAACACTACAGTTCAAAAGCATCAATTTTTTGGTGCTCAGCTTTCTTTATAGTCCAATTCTCACATCCATACATGACTACTGGAAAAACCATAGCTTTGACTAGAAGGACCTTTGTTGATAAAGTAATGTCTCTGCTTTTTAATATGCTGTCTAGGTTGGTCATAGCTTTTCTTCCAAGTAGCAAGCATCTTTTAATTTCATGGCTGCAGTCACCATCTGCAGTGATTTTGGAGCCCAGAAAGTCTCTTACTATTTCCATTGTTTCCCCATTTATTTGCCATGAAGTGATGGGACCGGATGCCATGCTCATAGTTTTCTGAATGTTGAGTGATTGGATAGGGGAGTGTCTTTGGATTTCTCTAGTTGGTCTTGAGTCGGGAGTGGGGGAAAATCAGGAAGGCAGATTTGACTGAGTCCTGAGCGTCGTGGGCCCACTGCTGGCAAGGCTGCAGTCTGGCGGCCTGGGGTAGCTGCTGCAGAGCCAACAGGCAGAGCTCTGTCATCCTCTCGGGCCTATCTGTGGTCAGCCTCCCCACTCTCTCACAGTCTTCACCTCCGTGCTTTGACCTAATCTCCAACCCAGCCCCAAATCCTTGGAATTTCTCGGGTTAATCATCCCACGCCGACATTCCATCTTCCTTTAGATCTGTACATAATTGCTGGTGGGAGAGATAGACACTTCTTTTCTGGTAGTATCTAAACTCCAAAAATGTTTCTGAAAGTCACACCATTCTATAAATGCTTTGAGGCACCTTGTGAAAGAATTTTGTTTTTCTGAATTAAGATTTATGCTACGAGAAGAGCCATCATTTCTTAAATACACTGGTTTGCAAGCTCAAGTCTCTTACCCAAAATATAGCCTGCTTTATTTCATTTGCAAGTGGCCCAGTGTTTGGCCTGTGTCTTGGAATCCTTGTTACAGATGTCAGCCTCTCAACCTGGGGATGCGGACAGTGAGACCCTCTGGGTTTGTGTCGTTCTCTCGGCTTAGTGCTGTGCAAAGAGGTCCTCCCAAGAAATGGCACATGGCCAGAGTGGAGGTGGGAATGGGCGTGTGTCGCACAGAAGGCATTGGGTGGGTTTGCCTGCTGCAGCACCCCTGTTGTAAAATACTGCACCCAGAGGTTAAACTTGATAGCCATTCCCTCAACCCCTCTCCTCAGTTGAAGTCCCCAACTTGTCATCTTGCCACTTTGGGGGAAACTGTTCACAACTAATTCACTTTGAGATGGTGGTGAATTGATATGGCATTCAAAGAAAGAAAAAAAAAAGATACCCCCAAAAGGAAATGCTTAAACCTAAGGAATTTGTCTCTAACAGTGGAGTTTGAGGCAATCTCTATTGGAGATAAGGATTACTTTTAGGCAAAGAGATGTTTTTCTCTAGAGAAAATTAAGTGCCTGTAAGTAATCATCCCGAGGCCCAGTGGAAACCCCATGAACTAGGAGATTTTTTGGTCTGGAAGCAAACCAGATTCTCAGAGCTCTGTTGGGTTTGCCCTTCAGAATGGCCCCTGGCTTCCACTACCTACAAATCTTCCCAGCTTCTTGGCAATGTCTAAAACTCTTCCATTAAAAACTTGCCCTTGCAGCCTAAGGCTTTGGGCCTGGTTAGCCTCAGGCTGTCCTCCGGCACTGAGTGAGTGGCTGCTGGGCCCTTTCCCAAGGACATTCTTTGATGGGTGGAGAACAGAAGGAAAGCAGAACAGGGAGGGAGGGAGAGGCAGTGAGAGCTGCTGAGCTCCCTGGGGTGGGAGAGCAGGGCACAGCCTGGGCCCCTTCAGCAGCCCGTCCTTCTGAGCCAGAGGCAAGGGCACGTGGCTCAGGGGTGGACCACTTGTCCAGCAGTGGCCCCTCAACATGGGAGCCCTCCCGCATGTCAGTGGCGCTGTCTTGAGAGGGTGTGGGGAAGCAGGAAAGAGCTGGCTGGTGAGTCGTAGAGGGATGAAGTTCCCTTGAGGGGATTCCCTTTAGGATGTGGGCCTTTTACTCTGAGGAGACAGGGTCTACCAGGTGTAATCAGGATTTAGCCTACAACGAAGGATTAGGGGAAAAGTCTAACCCAGGCTTCAGTTTTCTACAAGAAAAAGCTTATTTCTCTCCCCCTTTTCCTTACACCTGCTCAACCATAAAATCTCCATTAAGGGGAGATTGTTGGTTAAATTCAAATGGTGACAATTAAAGAAAAAGACGAAGTGAAGAATTCTAACGTTCTTTTGGTCTCCAACATTATGCACCAGCAAGAATAAGGAATGAATGAGTTGAAAGTTTATTTGACAGAATCTCCACTTTGTGAGTTGAGCTTGAGGGGAGAGTTTCTGAGAACTGCCTTCTAGTTTCTGCATGACCGGGAGACAGACAATTTGAACTAGAGCAGGAGGAATTTAGGCCAGGCTTCTGGGAGAGTGTTTTTACTTCTAATACCCACAAAGTGCACAAAGCAAGTTATCAGAAGGGATTAGGCCTCTGTTCCAATGCCTTAAAGACACGGAGTAGTTAGTTTTCAGTTTGTAGCATTTGCAGTTCTAGCTCCCACTGGCTGTGGCCTCTGTTTTTAAAAAATATGTTTTGCTCAAGGAAGCATAAAGTTGCCATGCAGTGTCATATCTTCAGTGATACCTGTGTTACCCCCAGGGGCTTATCAGCAGCAGCATCTGGAATCAGTGAGCAGTCAAGCAATGTCAGCACTGAAGTCACATTATGCATGCAGTGCTGTGAGAAGAGCAGTAGAAATAAAGATAGAGCATCTCTGAGATGATGCGGTCATTTTGGGAGAAAAGCAGTAATAGCAGCAAAAGCAATGTCACCTGCTGTTTTACAGTTATTAGTAGTGTTATCCAACCAAGGGCCGCTGCATTCAGTTGTGCATATCACTTCAGTTCAGTTTGGTCACTCAGTCACATTCAACTCTTTGCAACCCCATGGACTGCAGCATGCCAGGCTTCCCCGTCCATCACCAACTCCCAGAGCTTGCTCAAACTCATGTCGATCAAGTCAGTGATGCCATCCAACCATCTCATCCTCTGTTGTCCCCTTCTCCTCCTGCCCTCAATCTTTCCAATGATCTTTTCCAATGAGTCAGTTCTTTGCATCAGGTGGCAAAGTATTGGCTTTTCAGCTTCAGCATCAGTCCTTCCAATGAATATTTAGGACTGATTTCCTTTAGGATGGATTGGTTGGATCTCCTTGCAGTCCAAGGGACTCTCAAGAGTCTTCTTCAACACCACAGTTCAAAAGCATCAATTTTTTGGTGCTTTCTTTATTGTCCAATTCTCACATCCATACATGACTACTGGAAAAACCATAGCTTTGACCAGACAGACGTTTGTTGGCAAAGTAATGTCTCTGCTTTTTAGTATGCTGTCTAGGTTGGTCATAGCTTTTCTTCCAAGGAGCAAGCATCTTTTAATTTCATGGCTGCAGTCACCATCTGCAGTGATTTTGGAATCCAAAAAGTCTCTTATTGTTTCCACTGTTTCCCCATCTATTTGCCATGAAGTGATGGGGTGCCATGAAGTGAAGATGCCATGATTTTCATTTTTTGAATGTTGAGTTTTAAGCCAACTTTTTCATTCTTCTCTTTCACTTTCATCAAGAGGCTCTTTAGTTCTTCTTCACTTTCTGAAGTGTGGTGTCATCTGTGTATCTGAAGTTATTGATATTTCTCCCAGCAATCTTGATTCCAGCTTGTGCTTCCTCCAGCATTGTGCATATTGTATACAAAAAGAAAAATGTGAATGGTACTGTCTAGAGCTGTACAGTGCACAGCCTGCCCCACCATTCATGGCAGCCACATCACTCATAGAGTCTCATTGCAAGCTTTGCAGGTATGGGATTCTTTTCACATTTTAAATTGATTTCACATCCATTTGGTCCTCAAAACAGTTTTATGAGATTGCAGGGACAGTGTTATTTTCCCCAGACTACAAATGAGGAGACCTAGTCCCAGAGAGGAACTGGGACTGTTCTACATCATTAACACAATGAGATTAGGACCCAGAATTGGTAGCTCTTGATTCAGGGCCATTTCTACCAGCAATTCACTTAACCCAGCCTTTCAAGAACACCTCTGGGTGCAAGAGACAGGCTACTGGGGAGTCACTGGGAGCTGAGAGGCCTCTTCTCTCCTTACCCCGAATCTGTCTTTACCAATGCCTCCCCCCTTCACCATGGCCAGCCTCCCTCCTTCGTGTCCCTCCTCTCCATCCCCAGATTTGAGCGGGAGCAGAATGACACCTTCATCATGGAGATCCTGGACATTGCCCCATTCACCAAGATGAGGATCCGAATTGACGGCCTGGGCAGCCGGCCCGAGTGGTTCCTGGAGAGGGTAACACGGCTGGACCTTCACCCTCCCTTCCTCCCACTGCCCACCCCTACCTCCTGCTCCTTTGGGTTGTCAGTGGGGCTTGTTAACATGCAAATGTCACCTTAGAAGGTTGTTACCTGAGTCTGCCCCAGATAATATGCCCCTAGGTGTGAATTAATCAGGGAACCTAGTTTTATTTATTTGTATCCAGTCAAAACTGAATGAACTGCCAGGGAATACAGCCTGCCTGGTCAGTGTAATGTGGACAGAGACCGGTGTGAGCTTCCTGGAGGGAGCGAGTTGGGAGGAGGGAGAGGAGGAGCAGCAGGCCTGGGAGGCGAGGTTCCCATGGTGGGAACCTGAGGCAGACAGTGGGGAGGCTCCCGGTTCCCCCATGGTCTCAGTGAGCGGGCTGCCTCTTCTTCCCTGAGCCGCCCTCTCATCCCTTATCCATCAAAGGCCATCTGTCCCAAGTCCCCTGAGGCTCTGCTCCCCTGTTCAGCCTTTAGCAGACTTTACTTGGGCCAATAATACAGTGTTCCCTCCAAGGACAATCTGGCGAACTTGGGTCCACGGTGCTGGGGGAGTCTGTGGCTGAAGGTGGTTTGATTGGTCTATTTTTATGTCATTAATTCATCAGACATTCCTGGTGCACAGTGATAGGTCCTCCTTGGAAACATACTTACATGAATTGCCCACTTCCAGCTTGCCAAGTAAAGCTAGTCACGGCAGGAGCTTCAGACTCTGTGCCAGGCCCGCAGGGCAGGGTGTTGTCCTGGAGAGGACCCTTTCCTCGTGCCTCGAGTCTAAGTCAGAAGTTGTCTCAGGCCTGGGATAGTGGGTTCCAGGGTCCAGACGAGGGGGCTGCCTTAGTGGGCGGGCGGTCGGTGGGGGTGAGGGAGGTGTTCACACATTGGCCACTCCCCCACACCCAGATTCTCCTGAAGAACATGAACACGGGAGACCTGACCATGTTCTACTATGGAGACTGGCTGTCCCAGCGGAAGGGCAAGAAGACACTGGTGTGCGAGATGTGTGCTGTCATCGATGGGGAGGAGATGATGGAGTGGACGTCCTACACTGTCTCAGTGAAGACCAGTGACGTCCTGGGTGAGTCGGGGGCGGGGCACTCCCTCCTGTGTTCACTGCCCACTCACCCTGCCCTGCTCAGATTCTGGCTCAGGTCCTGAGCTCGGGCCAAGGCATTTTTCCTTGGTTAGCCTTTCAAAAGTGAGGCCAGCTTATTTCCGCAGAGTGTCATCTTCTACAAAGTATTCCTCCCCGTGACTGATGTGGCTCTGTCCTTTCTGCATCAGGAAAATGGGAGAAAACGGTGCAGGCGTTTGGCTCAGAGGCCATCGGTCCTCCGCTGCATCCTGAAACCCCTCGCCCAAGTGCTGCCCAGCGTGGCTGCCCTTGGGCCCCTTCCCACTTCCCTGTGCTTGGCCACCATCTTCGGTGCCGGCTTTGGCCTGGGACCTTAGGGTACGATACGTCCCTGAGCCCACGTGTGAGTGACACTCGAGTGCAGCAGTGACAGCGAGGCTGTGACAGAGGCTGGCACAGGTGTACCAGGTGCTGGTAACCTACAGGAGGGCACCTTCCCTAGCCGGAGATCAGGGCCAAAAATCAGGGAGGTCTTCCCAGAGGTGGTGCCAAAGTGCAGCCAGAAAGACAAACAGAAGCCAGTGAGGCAGATGGGACACCAGAGGAAGGGCCTTCCAAGCAAAAGCACCAAGGTATGCAGAGGCCTGCAGCTGAAAGGGAAGCAGTGTGTCCTGCCTCCCTACCCTCAACCAGTTCTGTCCCCTGGGAGCTGGTGCAAGGACCCTGCAAACTCACTCACACTACCTATAAGTGGTAGTGATGGATCCTTGGTTGGCCCTGCTAGCTCACACTTTCAACAGGGAAGCTCTCCCAGCACAGTGATAGGTATCTCTTGCAAATGAAGCCAAAGAAATGAAGCGCTCCTAAACTGGCAGCTCAGGCATACATGTTGGGTCAAAACAGCTGGCAAGGCACCAGATTTGTGACACTTCCTTTCTTCCTAAGATAGAAGACTTCTCTCTCTTTGCTCAAAGTTCCAAGTGTTCACTCATTTTCAAGTCCCTCATCCCTTCATGATATGCTCTCAGAAAGTAGTAAGCTCATTGATAACCACGGGGTATGTATCAGAAAAGTTTCAAGGGGTCACCTCTCCCAGAAGCCTTTTCTTTCCAACTGGGTCACTACTTTTCTTTGGCTTAACCAGAGAATGTGTAGCTCTAGCATAGAATGTCAACCAGAGGCAGATGTGGGAACAAGGAACTTTCACATTGTACAGGAAGGAGTTTATTTCTAAACTGTAAAGCCAGTCTACATGGCATGCCTTTAAGGACAGGTATATTTCTGCAGAATACATGAGTTCTTGTACCAAACCATCCACGCCTGCTAACCAGGACCGCAGTTAACCCAACAGCATTTACAAGGCTCAAATGTAAGACAAAGGATAGAGTTGTAGACCTGGAGCCCCAGTACACTGACCAGCCCTTTCTGACCTCATCCCTGGCCTTGACGACTCTGAACTTGCCCACGTGCACCCCTGGCTCCTCCCAGGATCCCAAGAGTGAGGCCAGAGCAAGAAGGCTGTGAGTCAGAGAGACCAGAGCCCTTGTCTTGTGCACCCCAGGAGCTGGCACCGATGCCAATGTGTTCATCATTATCTTCGGGGAGAACGGAGACAGCGGGACCCTGGCCCTGAAGCAGTCGGCCAACTGGAACAAGTTCGAGCGGAACAGTACCGACACGTTCAACTTCTCTGACATGCTGAGCCTGGGCCACCTCTGCAAGCTGAGAGTTTGGCATGACAACAAAGGTAGCTCAAGGTCAGGGTGGAGGGAGGGCAGGCTGCAGCTCTTCACCTAAGCCCTGCCCATCTCTCTGGCAGGACGTGGACCCTTCCACCCCAGGGTGGCAGGAAACTGGAAACAGTAGATTGCTACCATTTTGATGTTTCCATCAGTTAGAAGAGCCAGTGTTTCCGGGCAAATTGCAGCTCCTCCTGCTGCACACCCCCCACCCCAGGGTATTGAGTAGCTCTTACTTTTTCTATGTTATCAGGGCATTAATTCTTCTTAGTTCAGACATTAAAATTAAGAGGAGGGGGGAAAAGGGCTATATCACCAAAGTCCCTTCGCATGAATTTTCCATAAAGGATTATGCTTGTTTAATTATATTAGCAAATCAAAAATTAGTCAAATTCACTTGTAAATATGAACAATGGGATAGTATATAAGCCAAACAAGAAATTTATCTTCAAAATGCCGAAGGAATACTTTGTTACATCTGTAATTGTGATGAAGCTCATGTTCAATATTTCTTTCGTTACCACTTTGTTGTCTTCAGGCCACTATGAACATTTTTTTTCTGGCTTTGGGCCATTATGTTATACATTATATAATTGGAACAGAGTTGTTAAATACTAAATGTCACCTCCTTAAGACACATTATTTTCTTGATTTATGCCATTCTAACTCACCCTCTTGTTTTCCATTGAAACTGGCTTTGACAAGGCAATTCACTCAAATCCTTCTCCAGTCTTCTCTGAGTCTCCCTCACAAGTGGCCCAGAGGTGTCCTGAGTGTTGTATTGTCCTTACTTCTTTAGATCCTGGCAGAGAACCAATATATCTGTCATGGTGACTGATGAAGCCTAATTTGGCAGCTTTAACATGCATTAAACTATTAAAAATGTTTTCCATAACATGGGATAAGCTCTGATTAAGCAGAGAAAGTTCTCATTCTTAAGAACAATAAAATAATGAAGATTTGCACAACCCTCAACTTTCACATCTCAGTGTACCCACTTAGTCATTCATTGAGGGAACATTTACAGCATTTGCTATGTGCCTAGTGCTCTGTTAAGAATAAAAGATACAAACATTTGACCTTTGTGACCGTCTTATGGATTCTTGCTCTTTTCTACAACCAAGGAATATTGGGGCCCTGTGAGGTTTGAACAACTTACTCAGAAACACACAGAAGAAATAGACATAACCGAAACTCAAATCCAGGTCTTCTGAGTCCTATTCTCATAAACTATGCTGCCCAGCCAGTGGGCCGATGGGTCAGAAAAGAAAAGATGCAGAGATGAGAGCAGTTTCTTCTACCTCTGGTCACTATGTCCCCCATACACGTTGTCAGGGCAGCGGGGGAGGGTGTCTTCTCCAGAGAAGTGAGAGGAGATGCTTGTTCCTCTCCTGTCCATTCATTGTCCTTACAAGTCTATGGAAAGAAACATACAAAGTATTCTCAGAATATCCCTAATGAATCTCTGCTCTTTCCTAACAAAGAAACAAAACAAGATCCCTGAATTCTTTCTCACCCTCTCATTATCCGTTATGATTGTCTTAGAATTAGTAGGAGGTGGGCTGGTAGCTGAAAGTCTGACAATTATGAGTCAGATTTATTAAGATCATCTTTTGCCCCATAGAATTCAAAAGATCAGGATAAGCCGCTGCCCATGCCACTCAACAAATGAGTGTCAGGACAATCACTTCAGTGTTTGATCAGGCTGCCATTGGTTCAGTAAAAGCACTGAGCCCCATTGTGTGTCTAATTAGAGTGATTTGACAGACCAGATTGATGAGGGTGGGTAGAGATGAGGTCTGTCTACCCTAACATCCATGCATACAGTTTCCTGTTGCAGTGTCCACACCAGAGGCAAACCACTGTTTAGAAAGTTTATTCCCAGGAAGTGTGCCCCTTCCCTAATCAGAAAGAAGCACAATTACTTCTGCACTAATACACTTACTGGCAAGGCATTACTTTTGAGGGCAGGGGCCTTGCCTCATTCATATTCATCTTCATAAAAGTGCCGATGGCAGAGTGGAAACTCCATGCCCTCGCATCCCCAGGAGAGAGCTGTGAAATACCAAGACCACAGGCCCTACCTTAGAAGCAACAGAGAAGCAAAGAGACTAGAACCTCGAGAAGGAAGAAATATTATTCCCAGTGAGACTGAACAATCCCCTCAAGGTTCAACCACAAGATGGGATCAGAGGTCAAGCAGTTCCCTGATCACCTCCTGGTCAGGTCAGAGAACTGGGTAGGGGAGAATTTCATGTAGACCATGACGACCTCCCTCACTTTTCTAAGAAGGGAAGACAGTGTTAGGGCCATTTTTGTTTAGGGCCACTTTTAATATGAAGATTTCACTCTTCACATTAAGGTGAGGGTGAAGGGATGACCAGAAAGACTGAGAATGCTCTTATTAAAGATCACAGTTCCAACTAAACACTCCACAGTCTTTGGACTTATGTATCTGCCCAGGGTACTGACTTCTCTCCAGCTTCTCTCAACTCTGGACTCGGTCACTTGTTTCTCGGGTCTCCACCTTGGAGACTGACTATTTTCAAATTGGACTGTTATAGATTTCTCTCAAGCTTGGCAAAATGGTTCAAACTGCCATACATTTCATCTTCAAGTCACAGCAATAAAAGGTGGATAATTGTTGATCCAAGATATAAGTTCATCTCTGTCTCCTCCTTCAAAAGCTGCTATCTCGGACTCCATGTTATCTTAACTCCACCTGACTAAACACCTGAAAGCCTATTGGTTCTTTGTCGCTTGGATGACTGTTCCTGTTGCTGCCCACACCTTCAAAATCTGCCTTATTCCTTCTCAATCTGTTTCTCATCACAGACTTTCCAGAGTTCTCTTGGGCACTTGTGTTCTATGTTGTATCCCTCCTTCCAAACTATCTAGGAAAGCAAAGACTGACATATTTGAGAAAAATATTCCAGAAATTCAAGCAGTAACATTTCAGGAGTCAGGGGTAGTGTTTGTTTTTAGTGATGTCTATGTATCCCTCCTTTGGGGCTTCTCAGGTGACTCAGTGGTAAAGAATCCACCTGTCAATGCAGAAAACACAGATGACATGGGTTTGATCCCTGGGTTGGGAAGATCTGCTGGAGTAGGAAATGGCAACCTGTTCCAGTATTCTTGCCTGGAAATTTCCATGGACAGAAGAGCCTGGCGCACTAGTCCATGAAGTAGTCAGACATGACTGGGCACGCACACCACCCATTGTCCATTCATCATAGCTTTGCTCTATAAAGTTGCTGTAAACACTGAACCCCTGCTGCTAAGAAAAACACAAGGTTAGATTCCTGCAATCCTCCAGTCACGCATTTTCATCACCCAGTCAATACATAACCTTGTTTTGTGTTGGGGAAGGGGCTTTCCTCATGGCTCAGACAGTAAAGTATCTGCCTGCAATACAGGAGACCCAGGTTCGATCCCTGGGTTGGGAAAATCCCCCAAAGAAGGGAATGGCAACCCACTCACTATTCTTGCCTGGAGAATCCCATGGACAGAAGATCCTGGTGGGTTACAGTTCATGGGGTCACAAAGAGTCAGAGCAACAAACACACACTGTTTAAAGACACTTCATATGGTATATATTGTTGATTTATTAACAGTGAACTCATGGCCATCAACACTATTGATGAAGGTAAAGGAAAGTTACGTGGCAAATCTATTTTCTCTGTAAGGCACATCACAGACTTCTTACACTTAGAAACACTAGACAGTTCTTTAGCACTATAACATAAAAAAGTAAAAAAAAAAAAAAAACCAACAGCACTAAGTAGATGACAAAAACACTTGTTTATAGTGTGAGAGCTGAAACAGAAGTCAGAGCACCATCTTGTTTAACTTCAGCTGGCAACATGTGAATCAGACAGTGCAAGTTTTTCGCTGCCCTGCACATGTCTGTGAATAACTGTGAAAGGACAGTGAGCATTGATTTTAGAGCTACACATAAATTTTATCAAGTAGGTAAATTTTCAAATATGGATACAGAAATAATAAGGTTCAAGTTGATCTGTTTTTGAAAAGACAATATTTGAGCTAAGGCCTAAAGAATTTATAGGAGTAGACATTTGGTGAGGTGTGGTGTTTATCAAAAATGAAGTGTGTTTGAGGCAGAATGAATAGAAAACATAAAATCCCTAACATATAGGAAAGACTGATATGTTTCAGAAATGAAAGCATAGTTCAGAATGATGACAAAATAAGGAATGGGAGTGGGATCTAGAAAGTAGACAAGAATTGGGCCATGCAAGGTATTATAAGCCTTGTCAAGGATTGGGTCTTTATCCTAATTGTCCTGAGAAGCCATCAAAGGATCTCAGAACAGTAGTCATGTGGGGAAGATTATCATAGTGTCTGTGGGGGATAGGTTAGATGGAAAAGAAAACAACCTTCAAAAGACTGACTAACAGATGATGGGAGATAACTATGTCCTGCACAATGATGGTAGCAGTGGGGAATAAAATGTAGAAAGATTTGAGAAATGCTTAAGGCAGAAGTCTTATTGAAGGACTGGCTAAGAAGGAAAGTTGAGGCAAGAATGGTAAAGCTGCTGGAGGAGCTTCTTCATCCTGACATGTTTAATTTAAAGTCAAAATTTAAATTTAAAGTCAAAATTTAGATGTCTGGGAGACATCTAGGAGTGATGGCTAGTAACAGTTGGGTCTGGAGCTCAGGAGTCAAACTAGTTGGGAGATACTGATCTGAGATATGAGTGCAGAGGAATTACTGAAGCCATGAGAGTGAGGAAATGAAGCTTCAGAAAAACAAGAGTGACCAAGAGCAGATTCCTGAGAATCCCTATGTTTGAGGTTAGAGAATAGAAGGGAAGGCGGAGGAGAAGGAGGAGGAAAGGGAGAGGAAAATGGGTTGCCTCAACATTTTTTTTACTTCCTAAAGGAACTTGTTGGGGGAGATGGACCCTACTTATGAAACTATTGATGACTGTTCACTGACCATGAAACCCCAAAATGTGGTGTCTTGGTTCATGATGCCATAGTTT